TCTCGCGTGCACGAGCAGCTGGATAGAAAAGGTGTAAATTACGCAGCTCATTTACGCACGTTTCCTGAAGATAGAAGAGTTTGTTGAATGTGACGTGACATGTTCGTACGAACCCTTTGTACGAACAAAAGTAAGAGAAATTTAGGAGAAGAATACGAACATGTTCTTGCATGAGGCCCATTGTATGTATTGTCTTGACAATTACTTATGGCAAAAAACACTGTAGTAATAAGGGAAAAGCAGTAGCAATAGCTTCGGACTGGGCTCAAGCCAAAACAACAAACAAAAGCCTCTATCTTTCTGAGTAAATGCTGTCCTGTCCATCAAAACAAAACAAACAAATTACATCCATCTTACCTCCCTAGATTACACAAACATGAGAAAACTGGATCAAACAAAAATTGGCACCCGTCCTATACACATTCCCTTTCACAGTGTCAAAACACAGACCTATTTTGAAGTGTCACCAGACCAAACAAAATACTTAAAATGGGTACATTTCCATAACATCATCACTCTGTAGGTGGATCATTTCCTCATCACTCACATTTCCATCCAATAATGACATTTGCGCTTGGTTGTCAGGCATCACCACTCCAACTCATCTTAAAATCAGGGCTTTTGCAAAAGTCAGCAACAAAGTACAAAAACAAAACATCACGCATAGTGCTAGCACTACTGCTATTAGAATTTGGACCATAAAGCAAGTGGAAGTGCAGCCACCCAGTTCAGACCAGTATGTTTACAGATTTTTACCAGGCAGTTTTTTAGCACCACATTCAGTTTTTCGCAAATGCCTTAGCTTTCTGGGTGATAAACAGATCCAAGGCATTATTTAATTCCTAACTTTTGTAGGATCAGTTGTACAGTTTCATCTACAAACTCTCTCCCATTGTCTGATGAAATCTTATCTGGAGGTCCCCATCTGGGTATGACTTCACAACACAGAAAGTTAGCAACAGACTGGGCATCTTTCCGTTTGGTTGGACAGGCCCCAGACCATTGGACCCAACCCTGCCCCAGTTGGTTGACAGAGAACAGCACATGCATATCTACCCCAAGTTGAGGTAGACACATATAAGACAAAGTTTTTTGAATAATCAGGTAAAACCAATGCTGGCGCTCCCTGCATTTTTTTCTTCAACTTTTCAAAAGCTAAACAACCATCAGGTGTCCAGATTAGGTTACAATGGAGTTGATTAATCGCTGTCTCTTCTATAATTAAATGGTTGCGATTGTTGACCTCCGTTCTGGTCAGATGGCTGTGATGATTGTTTCTGTTGGGTTTGCATTACAACAGCTTGAGTCTTGTCTTTCTTTTTATTGTCCAACATTTGCACCTGGGTGAGATTTCTGAGCGTCTCCTGATCTTGTTGTTTCTGAGCTTGTTCCTTTTTGCAATGTAAGTCGACCTGGTGTGCAACATAGTCAGTATACACACTTTTCATCATGGTGCCAAGTCCGACCACCTCTGCCAATTTGTTTCTCACTGGTGGTGGCAGTCCTTCTTGTATCTTTGCTTGGAGAATTGACTGTTCCATGCAGTTGAAATCTGGATCATTTCCAGTTATGTTTCTCCAGGCTCGATGAGCTCTTGACATGTAGGCACTTGTATTTTCGTGTTCACCCATCAGTTCGATAATGACATTGTCTGGATTAATATTAGCAGGAAATAATGCTCTTAAAGCCCTCCACAGCTGTCCTCTGTATGCTGCAAAAAGTTCTGCATCATGTACCATGGTTGCAATCTGTCAATGAAGTCCCGCTTTCTGTAGAAGTTCTTCCATAGCTTGAACTCCAAGAAGATTTGCCAGAAGCCGTTTAATGTCCCCCATTGCGGGTTGAGTCCCAGTTAATATTTCTTCCAGCTTTAAAACAGACCCACGAGGGGCCACAGGAACAGACCCACGAGGGGCCACAGGAACAGACCCACGAGGGGCCACAGGAACAGACCCACGAGGGGCCACAGGAACAGACCCAGGAGGGGTCACAGGAAACAGAGCAGGAGGGCCACCAGGAACCAGAGCAGGAGGGCCACCAGGAACCAGAGCAGGAGGGCCACCAGGAACCAGAGCAGGAGGGCCACCAGGAACCAGAGCAGGAGGACCACCAGGAACCAGAGCAGGAGGACCACCAGGAACCAGAGCAGGAGGACCCACGTCAGAGGGGTGGGAAGGGTGG